GGGACCTGAACCTGTTCAGCCTCCACAAGAGAAGGCTGAAGGGGGATCTAGTGGCCTGTTACAAACTAGTCAGAGGGGACCAGCAGGCTATGGGAGAGTCCCTGTTCCCCTGAGCGCTACCAGGAGTGACAAGAAATAACAGTCAAGCTGGCGGAGGGCAGATTCAGGCTAGACATCAGGAGGCGCTACTTCACAGTCAGGGCGGCTAGGATCTGGAACCAACTTCCAAGAGAAGTGGTGCTGGCTCCTACCCTGGGGGTCTTTAAGAGGTGGCTGGATAAACACCTTGCCGGGGTCATTTGACCCCAGTACTCTTTCCTGCCATGGCAGGGGGTTGGACTTAATGATCTGCTCAGGTCCCTTCCGACCCTACCAACTATGAAACTATGAATTGCTCTACCTGAGGACTAGGTGTTTCATGCTGGTCCTTTAAATGATTGTTCAGATGGTCATCATCTTTCCATACAAATGTTTCATAAAGTCATTCAGATAAAGCAGCTTTATATACTAGGGAAAGCAAATAACCAACCAAACAACCCACCTTCCTTCCACAACCAAGGCTTTCATTCCAATTTGGAAGGAAGAAAAATATTCCCTAGTCAAAGAGACTTTAACCACAAGAAGTCATTTGACATACAAGTTATAAATCTTCACAAAACAGTTTTCTAACAAAGGCTGGCATGCTCACACCCATCCAAAAGGCAGAATTCCAGCTAAAATGTTGCTAGAAATAAGCTGGCCTAATTCAAACCAAGAGGCAGAGATCCTGCTAATTTGTGTACTCACCAGCTGGATGGCTATCATTAATACCGTCTTCAAAGTGAAAGTTCTGTCACAGAGGTCAAATAAGTCTTCCAAACTGGGACCAAGCAGTTCTAGTACCATGGCATTGTACTTTCCACATGGTCCAAAGTAGTACACCTGGGGAAGACCTTCAGCTGAAAGAAAAAATCCACACATCAGCAAGACAGGACCTGCTATGACTCCTGTACACCATACATATTTTGCTGTCCCCAGCTTTATTTTTACACATTCACACACAATGCCTATTGTACATCTTGCACACCAAGAAGAATCAAGCTTCTATATGAGCTTGCCATGGAGGAAATGGAGGCCAAGCCAGTACATGCTCTGCTGAAATAAGCCTTGGAAAGGTATATAGTATTAGTCGCTCTGAAAAATCTGAGCACATGACAAGGTTTCATTCTGGCATTGTGAATATTTTGGTCACAGCAAACTTATGAGATTCAACATTTCACCTTAACATTACAGAGATATGGAGCACCAAATAGATCCTCATTTTTCCCCAATATCAACAGCTCAAAAACGTTAAACAACTCTCACTATAAATAGTTTACACTCTAGAAAAGTTCCCTTTATAAACTAAGTTGTGCATGTGGGTTGTTACTAAGCACAGCTTTATACACCATTTAAATGGCACACTTCAGTTACCTATAACCGTGTCTCATTCAACAAGTCTTTGTTTCATCATGTGACAGAGAGAGATCAAACCACTCAAGTTTATCTATAATTTTAGTTTGCCAAGTCATACAGAGCACACGTTGATTGGGAGTTCTAACTTTTCACTTCTCTAACCTTTCCCATCCCAAACAAGCAAAGCCATGGGAATACACTTACAGACTACCAATAAGGACAAATCTATACTGAACTGATCACAACACTGAATGAGTTGAGTAAGCAATGGCTCAGAAAGGACAAGGCTTAGCTTACAGCCTTTTTGCACCGCTGCTTCCAAGATGACTGAGCTAATGAAAGCAGTGTTATGCTACTTGAACAGACTGTCCTGTGAAAGCCTTCAGACTGACCACTCAATACATGTGATTGCAGCCAACTGCCATATTCAGAGGTTCCTTCTAGTACAGGAACTTGGGTCTTCTGGTGCTAGTGCAAGACAGGAGGACAAACTAGTTCTCTCATAGACCTATTTCAGCCTTTGCTTCATAATTATTCCCTTGTTTGCACTACAAACTTGCACAGGAACTGGATGCACAATAAACCAAACCCATCTGGAATCCCATCAGCACCGCAGCCCAAGGTCTCAGAGCCCCAGAAGAGATCACCAAAAGCTATGCCAAAAAAATTCAAAGGCACACACACACACACCTTCCCAACAAATCAAGAGAACAAATATATATCACTTCCCAACAAATCGAGGGAAGCGATTATTCCCCTCTGTTCAGCACTGGCAAGGTCACATCTGGAGCACTGCATCCAGTTTTGGGGTCCCCACTACAGAAAGGATGTGCACAAATTGGAAAGAGTCCAGCAGAGGATAACAGAAATGGTGAGGGGGCTGGGGGACATGACTTGAGGAGAGATTGAGGAAACTGGGCTTATTTAATTTGGAGAAGAGAAGACAGAGAGGATTTAATAGCAGCCTTCAACTACCTCAAGGAAGGTTCGAAAGAGGATGGAGCTAGAGACTGTTCTCAGTGGTGACAGATGACAGGACAAGGAGCAACGGTCTCAAGTTGCAGCAAGGGAAGTTTAGGTTAGGTGTTAGGAAAAGCTCTCTCAGGAGAAGGGTAGTAAAGTACTGGAACAAGTTACCCAGAGAGGTGGTAGACTCCATCCTTGGAGGTTTAAGACCCAGCTAGACAAAGCCTCATCTTGGATGAGGTAGTTGGGAATGGTCCTGGCTCTGAGCAAGGGATTGGACTAGATGACTTCCTGAGGTCCCTTCCAACCCTCATTTTCTACGACTATTTCCTCCCTCTTCGCACACAAAGGCTGCATCCAGAAGAGCACATATGTAAGGCTCCCTGGAGACAAGAAGCAGCAGCACACCTAGTGCTGCTGCTGCTGCTGCTTTTCCTCAGGGAACGCCCATGCTATGCACCCTCTGGCGTGCAGCAGGTTACCCCAGGTTGGGCAGGGGAGGCTGGGGCCCGCAACCGTGCTGGGCTCAGCAGCCTTGCCTGGGATCCTGGGAGCTGGGGAAGCTGCCCATAGCTGTCCTGCAGCTTGGAGCCTGACTGGCAGCTGGAGCACAGCTCTAGTGGACCAAGCTCTGGTTTGGGGCAGTGCACACTGTAGACATGTGTGCCACCCCCATTTTTTTCCCCCCCCACGCAGGCTTTTTTTTTTTTCCCTCTACTCCAGGACCTCCCAGGTCAAAACCCTACCCCCCACCCAACCCTCCACCCTGCAAGGTAGCAGCATGGGAAGTGCCTGAATGTGCAGTGTGTGGCACCACAGATGGGTCTGCAGCACCACATATCACACAGTATCATCTGGTTGCAGCCAAAGGGTGTGTGGAAGAATATCAGAATCAGAGCACAAGCTTAGCTATAACTCTTACTGCTACCGTACATACAGGAAAACTTTGCTAATCTCCCTTACTTAACTACTTCTGCATTTAAAGATTATTTCAGGATTTTTTAATCTTGTTTGCTCATCTTAATTCACAAATACCAGGAATTCATGCTAGCTCAATCAGTTACCAGAATAAACTAATCTAAACATTTGCAGATGCTGAGCATCTAGCCACCAGAACATTTAACGTACTGTGTACAACAGCTGTATAAATATGGCAGTGTTGGAGGGATGATTTGAATTGAAACATTTAATTAACATTTACATCTGATCCAAACAACTGAAGCAAAACTGAACAGAAAAGATGCACTGTCCCTTCTAGAAAATACCATTTTTACTCAAATCTAGGTCAACCCTGAATTTAACATGACCCCCAATAATTAAGTTTCTATATATAGAAAATTTATAAATGTATTACAGTTTTCTAGGTATAAAATCTAATTATTGGAGGGTTGTCTTAAATTCATCCCCCAGGACAACTTTAAGAAAAATCAAGGAAAGAAGTAGCTGGTGGGAAGAGGGGGGGCAGGTGGCCCCTTGCTCTCTGCACCCCCCTTCTTCCCCTTGCAGCCTTCCTGCCCCTCCCCCC